TCATTTTTTTAAAAAATTAAGGTATCATTAATATACAATATTAGGAAGGTTTCATATGAGCAACACTGTGGTTACTACATTCACCCATATTATCAAGGACTTCCCCCAACATACCCCCTTACAGTCACTGTCCACCAGCAGAGTAAGATGCTATGGAGTCACTACTTGGCTTCTCTGTGCTATATTGCCTTCCCTGTGACACCCCCCCCTACATTATGTGTACTAATCATAATGCCCCTCAACCCCCTTCTCTCTCCCTCCCTACCCGCTCTTCCCCAGCCCCTCCCCTTTGGTAACCACTAGTCCCTTCTTGGAGTCTATGAGTCTGCTGCTGTTTTGTTTCTTCAGTTTTCCATTGTTGTTATACTTCACAAATGAGTGAACTACTTTGATACTTATGTTTCTCCGCCTGGCTTTTTTCACTGAGCATAATACCCTCTAGCTCCATCCATGTTGTTGCAAATGGTAGGATTTGTTTTTTTCTTATGGCTGAGTAGTATTCCATTGTGTGTATGTACCACATCTTCTTTATCCATTCATCTACTGATGGACACGTAGGTTGCTTCCATAATCTTGACTATTATAAATAGTGCTGCAGTAAACATAGGGCTGCATGTCTTTTTGAATCTGAGAAGTGGTATTCCTTGGGTAAATTCCAAGGAGTGGGATTCCTAGGTCAAATGGTATTTCTATTTTTAGTTTTTTGAGGAGCCTCCATACTGCTTTCCACAATGGTTGAACCAGCTCACATTCCCACCAGCAGTGCAGGAGGTTCCCGAAAGCTTCATTCTTATATGATTAATAAGTCTCTGCTGGATGTTGCACATGTGCATCTTCCCACCATTTTCAGGAAGACTTTCTATTGTCCTCTTTTTTCAAAGATTCTTCCTCTGCCAGTCTGAACATCTGCCCTGCGGCACCTCCAAAACTTGCCTCTCTTTCCTAAGCCCATACCAACCTGACACTCTCCACATTTAAGCTATGTTACTAGGCAAACATGAATTTTAACTGCTATTTTATAGTATGTACTAGTTTGTTCTCAGGTATTGAAAAGTATCATTTGGCACCTGTGCTTTATCTCTACTTATAATGTTTTAACCATTAAGTATTTTTCAGTAAAACACGTCACAATTAATCTAATCTCATTTTAATGAATAAAAGCATTCTGTGTTTAGTTATGTAGCATTTGTAAAAACTAATATGTTTTACTATTTGTATTAAGAATAGAGATCTATGTTTTTGGTTGAATCGCACTTTCTGGTTACTTGCTAAAAGAAGAAGGTCTTTACTTCATATATGGTCCATGTTTTATTTACTTTTTTTTCCCAAGGAAATACAGCATTCATAAACGCATTCATTTCACGTAGTTTGTATTTTTAAATTGGTCCTTCAAGAAGTGGGAGGGACACAAGACAAACTCATCTGGTTTGCAGACTGTAAGCTGTCCTAGAAATCTCCTGGTCTAAATGCTCTTGGGGAGATGGGCAGGATGTTGAGAAATTTTGCTAAGCTAGAATTGAGAAAATGGGCAAAATTTTAACCTTATGATTTGAATGTTATAGCTGTTTTCTTGATGGCAGTCTTGAGTGAACAGCAGGAGAGGAGCAAATATCATAAGGAATTTCCCTGGAATCTGAAGTTGAAAATAACATTTAAAGAAAATCATCTTGCTTCACTCTCCTAGTTAGAACTTCAAGTCTCAGGATTTAGTCCTCTATTGAAAGTTTCTTTTCATCTTTACACACTAGAAACACCTTTTACATTCTTATGCCCAAAGTTTCTCCTATGATTTTTTGTTTTCTGAAGTTCATTCTCTGGCAGAATCCCAAGAAAATGCTCATAGACACAAAATACCCTAAGTTCTTACAAGTTCATAATTCATTGTAGCCTTTATTTTTAGGTCACTTAGCTGGATATAAATTCATTGCCTCAAATTTACCTTACATGAAACTCTTAAAAATGTTGAATCACTGTGTTCTGATATGAAGTGTTACTGTCAAAATCTGATGCCAGTCTGATTTTCTTTTTCTTGCAAAATCAGGTGACCATTGGGAAATGATGGGACACTATTAATAAGTTTGCCAGGACCACGAAGTAAACCAGGATTGTCCTGGGCAATCTGGATGTATAATCATTTTATTTATAAACAAATGCCTGAGCACCCAAGTGATTTTTCCTTTTGTCTTTAAAGTCTAGTTGTTACACTTTGTATCATGTACATAGTGAGTCTTATTTATACCAGGGAAGCTTTTTTTTAATTACAGTTTTTAAGATTTATTCTGTTCCATTGCTTTCATTTTTCTCTCCAGGAACTCTGTTTTTACATATTTTGGAACTTCTTCACTTATATTTTCTAGATATTATTTTCTCTCGAATTCTTCTTTATTTCTGTTTGATTTAAATAATTTGTTTTCCTTTCTGTCTTTTATTCCCATTAGTATGCTTTCTATGATATGTGCTTGTTCTTTTTGTTTGTTCTAATCTTTATTTCCAGAAATCTCACATGGCTCCCATGCAGGTCCTGACAGTGTTGCTGGTCCAGCCCCACACTGGGAAGTTCCTGCGGGTCTGTGTCATCTCATGTTGATGGTGATGCGGCCAGCAGGTTTTTCTTTTGCTGCCTGAGTTGCCCTATTTTTCTGAGGGAATTTGGAGAGATTAAAAAATCTACTGCCATCATGATCTTTTCTTTTCCATACCACTCACCAGCCTGCCTCACTTAAGCTCTTAATCTTCCTTTCCATTAAAGCAGTACCTCAGCTAATCATTTACACCCATCCTGCCTTTTTTTTTTTTCAATCAACTCATATGGTTCAGCAACACCTTGGCTCAGACTCTTCCCACCTCTGCTGCCCTTTGCTGCCAGCCATCTCTCGGACACCTGTGGTGGTGAAATCTTCGTTTATTTCTGGTCATTCTTTTAGTCAACATTCACTAGGAGTCCTCTATGTGGCTGGCACCATGCCAGACCACAGTGCCCAGTTAGGTCTTTGTCTTCTGTGTCTCCTGGTGACAGACACAGGCTGCTGACACTGTCCTAGTCAGCAAATAGGCCATCTGGTCAGACACAGCCAGGGGCTTTTGTTGGCAGCAGCCACAGTGACCAAGACCCCTGGAAATGGAAATGAGCACCAGCAACCTAGGTAAACTTACCTGTGGTGCTCGGCTGCTGGGCATACAGGTGGTTTTGCAACTTGTCACTTGGGGACCCAAGTTCTGATTGGCTAAGGTTCTTCCACAAGCTCTGTGGGATGCTGAACAGGTCAGTCCTGCTCTCTGAACTTCAGTGTCCTTTTCAGTAAAATGAGGGGATTGGACTAAAGCAGGAATTGGCAAACTTTTTCTTTAAAGGGCCATATTGTAAATAGCTTTTGTGGGCTGTATAGTCTTTGTGACAGCTACTCAACTCTGCCCTTGCAGCTCAAAAGTAGCTGTGGACAATAGACAACAAATGTGTATGGCTGTATGTCCTAATAAAAATTTATTTACAGAAATAGGGTGCGGGCTTATTGGCCATGATTTGCCCACTCCTGGACTAGACCCTGGGCTCTGAAGTTTCCTTTTTATCATGATGTGTTGTTGATCCATGATGCTGTAAGGAAAATATTTTTGGAAGTCTTTGTCTTTTCATGGCTCTTTTCAACCCATTGCATAGGTCAGCCCTCCCAAGGGCTCCTCAGGTGCCAAACATGGGTCAGGTCCACTGGGGGATGATGTGGAGCCCTACTCCAACCCCACTTCTCATAACTCTTCTTTCTTCCTGGAGCCAGAGCTGGGAGCATTCTTGTGGAGAACTGAGGGCACAGTAAGAATAAAGTTGAACTAAGTATGTATAACCCAGCAGGATACCTTTGGACAAACCAGCCAACTGGAGTAAAGATAGGCAGTGGCCTTGGCATCAAGTCTCCACACAACTGTCCTGCTCAACATAGGCACGTGAGGATGGGAGGGCCAGAGACCAGCAAGAAGACATGCCCTGGGCATGCTCCCCTTCTGTTTTCAAGTGTTCTTATTCCATAACAACAGCGACACAGGAACATCCCTAAGTGCTTAGGTTTGTCATTCTTTTCAGCTCTTCTGGAAAATGGGTTGTTCCCTTTTGAAGGACTTGAATACCTTCAAATGCAGAACTCTAAGAAATCAATAGGGCTGATCCAGGGTAATGTCAAGAGCCTTCACTGGGCAAGGCCACTGTTGTGAGGACCAGCTGGCCTCACCCTCAAATGCAAGACTCAGTATATATCACTGTGTAAAATCAAAGTTGGTACAATTGGTGCACACAGTTACAAGGAAGGGAGAAGAAACATGGGAAGAAAATAGGGAAAGAGAGAGAAACAGAAGGCAAAGGAAACTGTTAGGCTAGATTTGAAAGGCAAGGAATCAGAAAACTTGATATTTTTATTCTAGGACAATGCTAGGAATGGGGACAGCAGAACCAGGATCTAAAGACAGGTTCTGGTGACACACCCACCTAGCAGGGTTCAGTTCAATGGGGGATCCCATGGTGGTCGGCATAGCCCCTTCCAGCTCCAGTCTGGTTTCACACAGACGTATGAGTACACACATTAGGTGTCCAATGGAGACTGAATGAGGAGACAATCACAAGGTCTAAACCAGCGGGAAAGTGGGTGGGACATATCCCCAAAGGTCACCGAAACACCTACCTCCAGGATGACTTTCATCCCATTCCTTTAAATAAAAGGGGAAAAATTCCCTTTCTGGTATTTGGGAGAATCTCAATAAATACCGCCTAGTCAGGAGTTGTATGTTGTGGAATGAAACGGTGGCATGCCTAAGGAATGATAAGTATTCAGATTTGGGGGAGGAGGTGGTTTGGTTTTGGACCTCAGTATCCCCATTTGTAAGTGGGGTGGTGAGCAAGGTGACTTTTTGCAGCACTTTGAGCTCTCATATTCTGCAATTTTACAAAGTGTTACTTGCGGTGTGAGAAGCTGCAATACATGGCCACATATTACCGCACCTCCTCTTCATCTTGGCAGTGCTGTTGGGGATTTCCAGGTGGACGACAAAACCAAAGCTTTACTCAAATACACAGGGGAGGTCACTTGGATACCTCCAGCCATCTTTAAGAGCTCATGCAAAATCGATGTGACCTACTTTCCATTTGATTACCAAAACTGCACCATGAAGTTCGGTTCCTGGTCCTATGACAAGGCAAAAATTGACCTGGTCCTGATTGGCTCCTCCATGAACCTCAAGGACTACTGGGAGAGCGGTGAGTGGGCCATCATCAAAGCCCCAGGCTACAAACATGACATCAAATACAACTGCTGTGAGGAGATCTACCCGGACATCACATACTCACTGTACATCCGCCGCCTGCCCTTGTTCTATACAATCAACCTCATCATTCCCTGCCTGCTCATCTCCTTCTTGACTGTCCTTGTCTTCTACTTGCCCTCTAACTGTGGCGAGAAGGTGACCCTTTGCATCTCAGTCCTCCTCTCCTTGACTGTGTTTCTCTTGGTAATCACTGAGACAATCCCATCCACCTCACTGGTGATTCCTCTGATTGGTGAGTACCTCTTGTTCACCATGATTTTTGTAACCTTGTCCATTGTCATCACTGTCTTTGTACTTAATGTGCACTACAGAACCCCAACCACCCACACGATGCCTACATGGGTGAAGACCATATTCTTGAACTGGCTTCCTAGAGTCATGTTCATGACCAGGCCAGCAAACAATGAGGGCAACACTCAGAAGCCAAGATCCGTCTACGGTGCTGAGCTCTCTAATCTGAATTGCTTCAGCCGCACAGAGTCCAAATGTTGCAAGGAAGGCTATCCCTGCCAGGATGGGATGTGTGGCTACTGTCTCCACCGCAGGACAAAAATCTCAAATTTCACTGCCAACCTCACCAGAAGCTCTAGTTCTGAATCTGTGAATGCTGTGCTGTCCCTCTCGGCTTTGTCACCAGAAATCAAAGAAGCTCTCCACAGTGTCAAGTATATTGCAGAAAATATGAAAGCACAAAATGAAGCCAAAGAGGTAAGGAATTTTAAGAATTGGTCATTCTTTCATTTAACAAACATATTGGTTCCTTGTGGGGCAAAGACATAGGGTGGGATTAAGAAATTAGACTCTGTACAGTCAGTGGCCTAGTTCAGATCAGCTCCTCCACTTACCAGTTATATGTCCTTGGAGCTGCTGCTTCACTTCTCTGAATCAGTCTTCTCATCTGTAAAAAGGGACGATAGAGCTTCTGAGTAAATGGTGCCCTCCCTGCCTTTAGCCACAGGGCTGCTAGCAGTTTAGGCTAATAGAACACCTGATGCCAAGACAGAGTTGATCAGGAGATAGGCTGGCAAAGGGCATAAGGCCAGATTATCTCCAATTAGTATTGATCAGCTGAGCTTACATTTTTTATATTACTTTCTAATTGTGTTTTTTTCCCCAGTTAGGTATAATTTATATAAAGTATACACCTCTTAAGTATACAGCTGGGCGAATTTCTACATTAGGTGTACACCCAGGTAACCATGATCCCAGTAAAGGCATACAGCGTCTCTAGTGCCCAGGAAGTTCCTTCATGCCCTTTCCCAGCCAGCATCTCCCTCCCTCCTCAGTAACCACTAATCCTGACTTTTCCATTGATTGGTTTTACTTATTCTTGAATATCATGTAAATGGAATCTCATAGTATAAACTCTCATGTCCGATTTACAGGCTTCAACAAAATGTCTTTGAGGTTTATTCTTTTAATTTTTTGGTGTGTAATATTTCACAATGTGACTATCTGCTTTCTGCTTACTCTAGAGACTTTGGACATTTGGTTGTTTCTAGTTTGTGACTATTCTGAATAAAGCTGCTATAAATATTCTTATATATGTCTTTTGGTGAACATATGCACCATTTCTCTTTGATATATACCTAAGAATGGAATCACTGAATCATTAGAACTTTAGTAGATACTGTAAGGCTACCAAAGTGTTTGGACCAGTTGACACTCCACCTGGAAATGTTTGAGTTCTGGTTACTGCTCATGCTCCCAAATATGTGTGAAGTGGTATATAATTGCTACTCTAATTAGCATTTCCCTGTGAGTAATGATTTAGGGCTCTTTTTCATATGCTTATTTGCTACTTGGATATCTTCTTTTGTGATGTATCTGTGCAATCTCTTTTGCTCATTTTTTTTAATTGGGTGAATTTCTATTTCCTCAAAAAATCTTGTGCTAGAACTAGTGGTAGGTATTAAGAATAGGGAAGTTTTAACACTAGAAATTAGTGTCTGGCTTCTCGCTGACCCTCTATTTACTAAGGTTACCAGAATCATGTTCAGTAATCTTATAGGAAGCTCTGCTTCAAAATTAATTAGCTCTGGTTTGTTGCTTATTAGCAAAGAGCTAATTAACAGATAATTTCAGCTCCTGATGCCCTATAAATAATTCATGTTGATAGGGAGTGTCTGGGGCCTGTTTTATTCAGCTGTGAGTGGCATATTAAAATAGATGGAACAGGAGGGAGTCAGTAACAGATGTCCTATCTCATCATCCCCACCCACCTGAGCAGCTATTGGCATGCCTCATTTTACTAAAGCTTGAGATCTACATATCCATGCTCAAGCCTTTGTCAGACTATTAGAAATTATCTTGGTTCCAAAAATTATTTACTAGGTACTTAACAAGTTGTTAAGAGTTTCACAAGGGTCTAAGACATGTGATGGAGGGACATTTTAAAAATTGTTACTGAAAGGGAAGTCACAACTGAAATGCTAGGAAGGTAAATTAATGAAATAGCCTGAATCAGGCTATTTCATAGTGGCCAACTATGAAACATGGTTCATCTCAAGGGGCAGCCACTGCTTACCTCTAGCCATCTGTTACCATGGAGGAATGTGGGCCCAGTATTGTTAGGTCCTCCAGGTTTTCCGGAGAAAGCAGAAGTCTGGCCCACACGCCAAAAGATTACAACCTGTTTATGAAAGTGTGGCAAGCGTCAGCACAGAGATGCCTACTCAGTGCTCTGAGGAGAGAGTTGGGCTGTTCTGAAGGATTCCTGCTTTCCCTCTTATTATGTGACTGTGCACAGTTACACAGTTCTCCAGAGATATTTTAACTTCCTAAATTTCTGGTCCAACTTGGCTGTTTTTAAATGTCTCTGGTGCCTAGGATCCTAGACTGAATAGAGTGAGTTTTCCTAGAGCCATCTCCTCAGGGTGTTGAGAACCTGTGAATGACCGTCCCAGGACACACCAAGTCCTAAAGGCACAGCAATGTTGTAGTGTTCGGCCTGCACTGGCTGCTCTCTTTTACAAATTGTTCATGTTGGTAACACCCACTTGCTCATACTTGGTCTTATTAATAAGGAGTTTGATTGGTATTAATAAGTTCACAGGAATAGGATTGGGTTAACTACTAGGAACTAGTTAGGGAACCTATGGTCCCATAGAAATGGGTCCCATCTTTGTTGGTGGTTTTGACAGCTGATTATTCTGTGCTTGGTTCCACTGGATGAGTTGGTCTCTAGATCTTGTAAGTGTGCAAGATCACAGCCATGATGTTTTCAGCTGGTAATTCTAAGGCAGCTTATTTTCTATTTGGTTGAGATAGATATATATAACTAGATCTATATGTATCTGTATATATCTGTATGTGTGTACATATATCTCTATATATTTCATTCATTCCAGAACCTGACTTTTGATCACTGATTTATAAATTTACATTTGTTGTAATTACTGTTTCATCAGGGCTAAGTTTCTGCCATCTTATCTCATGTTTTCCATTTACTATTCTTTTTGCCTTACTTCTGAATGTGCATTTTCTGCTTGTTGAAAGTCATGTTATTTCCATGTCTATCAATCTCTTATGTTCCTCAGTATCTGTACCTGCTCTTTACCCCATTGTCCTTCCCCTCTGGTCTTCCTCGCAGCCCTGGATACACCAGGTGTTATTAGAGCTTTAGTTCTGAATTTTTATTAATATACTTTATGATTTTCTTACCATTCCTTTTTTGTCTTCCATCAACTTCACTAAATTATTTACTCACCCCTCACATGTATTTTACGGTGTCCACGTTAATTCATTTCTCTTCATATTACTATGCCTCATCAGGAGTCCTTGTTGGCAAACCTTCTGAACTTTATAGGCTTAAAAATGTATTGTGCCCTCAACTTTTGAGAGTTTAGCTGGATGCAAAATTCTAGGGTTGACGTTCTTGCCTTAAATACTTAAAAATAATACTCCATGGAGGGGTTTCAAGATGGCAGCATGAAAGGTGAGACAGAGGAAAGTTTCTCCCAAAACTGTATATAGTACAAAAATATAGTTAATATAACTAACTCTAAAATAGCAACAGGAAAGAAGGCTGCAACAGACTAAATACAGACCTCACAAACAGAGCAGACCTCACGAAACAGGGTAATGTACCAAAGCCTTTATCTGGTGGGACCTAAGCCCTTCCTGAACCCCAGCTCACTGGTGGGAGGAAGGGAAATGGAGCAGGGAGGGGGGTGGAAGCCTAGAAAGGCTGAACACCCAGCCCTGGAGGGCTGCTTAGGAACACAAAGCTACACTGTGTGGTACTCTGGCAGTTGGTGAGCTTGGAGAGCTGGAACAGGCGGAGTGCTTGAGAGACAGATTCTGGCCATTTGTGAAGAATGGGGATCCACATCTGGCTTCTCTGGGACAAAGGAAAGGCAGGCGGTCTGAGAGGCTTCCTAGCAGTGAGAGGGCTACTGAAGGGGCAGGGTTTGCAGGGAGCTTCTGAAAGGGAGAAGGGATAGGTGGGAAAGGTTGTCAGGGTGTGCTCTGCCCAGCAGGTTGGGAATTTTGAGGAGCTTCAGGTGCTCCATCCCCCTGGATGGCTGCTCAGCTCTGAGGCCACCGACTGTGACACATGCCTGCTACACCTTCCTCTGGGCTGCCAGCACGGGCTCAGAAACAGGCAGTCACTATGCTGGCATCAGGCCAGCCAGAGGTAGGCCCCGCCTACAACAGCTAGAGACACAAAGCACAGGGTTACATCTGTGTGCTCGGCCCACTGGCTCTGATACCAGAGACGGCACTGCAGACGGGAATCAGGAAACAGCTCTTTCCTCCCACCAGGCACCAGCGCTGCTCCCCTATGACCCCCAACCACACCCTACGGGCTGAGCAGCTCCAGAGACTAGAGCTTCTGGGCACTAGAGAATGAAACATAGAAATATGAAATGTCAAAGGAACCTAGTCCAGACCAAAATCCCACAAAACCCCAGAAACAGGGCCAAATGAAACTGAACTCACCAATCTTCCTGAAAGAGAGTTCAAAATAAAATCATAAACATGCTCATGAAAGTACAGAAAAATATTCAAGAACTCAGGAATGAAATTAAGACACAGATTCAATCATTAAGACATTCCATATCTGAAATGAAACATACCATGGAGAGATTTAAAAGCAGATTAGATGTAGAACAGATGGTAAATGGAATAGACATCATTAGAGAAGAGGAATACAAAGATGCTGAGTCACAGAGAGAAAAAAGGATGCCTAAGAATGAAAGAATATTGAGAGAACTGTATGACCAATCCAAACAGAACAATATTCACATTATAGGGGTACCAGAAAAAGAAGAGACAGAAAAAGGGATAGAAACTGTCATTGAGGAGGTAATTGCTGAAAACTTCCCCAATCTGGGGAAGGAGATAGTCTCTGAAGCCATGGAGGTGCACA